ATTCATTTTACGTGACTAAATTTAAATTATGTATAGATTAAACATTGACTTTTATTTATGCCAATAGGTGTAGAATCATAAATGTTTTCATCATCATTATAATCATTTGTTCAGTTTTTATAAATATTTTTACATACATAATAAGCGACGAGATTGAGTTAATTGTTAGAATTAGATTAAAAAATAATGTTAGTTTTACAATATAGTCCAAAACAAAAAATACTAATAATGTCGAAAGGTTAAATAAAGATAACACAGTACTGTGAGTGAGTTAGTTTTTTATTCTCTAGATAAGTTATAATAAAAAAATGTATTGCTACGTTTTAATGTATGTTTATTATTAGAAAATAAGTGCAATACTGTTTAAATGACATTTAAATCACATGACACTTCGTCAGGAGAAATAGATTGCAATAATATTGGAGGCTGAGTAGTATCAAGCGTAGTATCATTAAGACATCAAATAGCATTGATGATCTTTCTTTATGCTTTTTCTTTATTCCTTTGCAAATTAAACGTGTAAAATGTATCGAAATTTTTAATTAAAATACAGAATAGTTATAGTTTGTGTAGATCACATTGTGTAGATCACATTGTGTTAATAGTTTTAAGATCATTGAAATTTTTTTTTATATATTTTATATGTAATACTTCATTGAGAGTATTTTTTGAAAACAACACGATTATCTAATGTTATCATGGGGACAATTAATTGTAATTTTTTGGATAAAAAAAATATATATATATTATTTTTTTTTTTTTGCATCCGAAGAAATTTCATTGATATAGAAATTGACGTAAAATATAGAAGAAAACAACAACGATTAACTCATCAAATTTATATAAACATTTACTGCGTTTTTTGTTGTTGTTTTCTTTAATTTTTTTTTTTTTTTTTTTTTTTTTGTTTTACTTATAATATGTAAAGCATGTATTACTTAATTATTTTAATATTAATAAATTATATTACTTTGTTATTTAATCTTATTACAAACTTTTATATTTTATTTTACAATTACTTTACTTTTAGTTATTTTGGTTACAAATTTATACTTATTTTGCAATTTCTTCACTCTTGGCTATTTTTGGGTAACTTGGTTGTATTTACTAAATTTATGAGATTCAGCTTGACAAGCAGAAAAGTTCGGAAATCGAGAACAAAAGTTAGTTCAAGCAAGCATCAAATTGAAATGATGGTTGAAGTTTAACCGTTTGCTAACTTTTATATGTATTGTATTGCAAGACAATTTTATTGAAATAAAAATATTTGGGATAATAAAACATATTGCTAAAACGACTGTGTATTTTTAATTTAAACTATCCCACATTCCATTTTATATAACTCATGCAACTTTTCCAGGTAAGCAAACATCATCCCGCTTCATCTTTTTCTTACTGACTTGTTGTACTTTAAGTTAAAAAATCTTTAGGTTAAAATCTTGCGTTTGTTTCGCAAAGGTCTCTGAGTTAAAATCTCGCGTTTATTTAAGTAATGATTGTTTATAAAAAGTAGCAATTTATTTTAAAAACGAACAAAATGAACCAAAAGTAGCAACGGAACGACTAAACGCCGCTCAAAAAACGGCTGCCATGTATGAACCATTCCTTAAACAGTAAACAAGACTTGGATTAGACTATGTTTGTCGGCTGATGGTGGTGCAGTTATGACACCGATGGTGGATCATGCATGTGCCATGCATGGGCCAAGAATGGGGAGTTTGCTGGGATGTCGAAAATAAACTTTATGATAAGTGTCGAAAAAAAAAACAAACGGATTATTGTCCCAAAGGAATTTAAGATATTATCTTTGATTTTCATGTAGTTTGATTTTTTTATTGTTTTAAGGTATAAATAAATTTTGAAATGCGGAAAAGTTGCCTATCCCACAAATAACATAGCAAAAATGCTATGTTAATAGTGGGATTGTGACCCTTCTTTAGCAGATGATTTTAGTAAAGGTATGCATATAATGAGCATCAAGATGTATTTTTCATTGAATTAATCATGCAACAATATAGTTTCCAATTTTAATGCTGCTTATGAAGTTTAATCATTTTTTTTTTTTTAAAAAAAACGTGTACTTTTTTTTTTTCTTTATCAATTTTTTTTTTTTTTCTTTTTTTTTTACCTTATATGTTTAATTATACCGTAAACATATGTAATTACAAATAGTTAAAGAAGACAAAATATCTTATCACCAATTCTATGCTTTAATACAAAATAATAAAAAAAAAATGAAATAATAAAAAAAAACTACAGCATATAAAACGTTTTCATATAGACTTTGTTTAAAATAACAAAAACAAAAAACGATAAAATTCTTAGGTTATGAATGTCCGACTTTAACAAGGAGTCCACTTAAAAAAAAGTAAAAATTTTTATATAATATAAAAAATAATGTAATAGTAATGCAAATACATATTTGCAATTGCAAAAATGACAAAAATATTACAAAAAGATAAAGTTTCAATGTCATAGTAAAATATTTAGTTTAGCAAAAATATAAATTTTGAATTGATTTTCCTAAGATAAAACATTTAATTATTGTTATCGAGTGAAACTTAACTTTAATTTAATTCCAAGAAATAGTGCTTTTTATTTAATGTGGAATTTTTTGTAATTACTATTTTATTTAACTTTATTTTGATCATAATTATAATCAAAATAAAATTAAAAATAATAGTATTTACAAAACATTTGTCGTCATTTTTTACTATGCTACATCCATTAACTTTTAGACAGCTATCGTTCCCAACCTCGTTCTCAATGAAAATTACAATTAAACACTTTACAACCTAAATCAAAAAATAATATTTAAATTATTTAAACAAATATGAATTAACTCATATTTGTTTTCATATAGCTTTTGATATATGTGAAATGTGAAATGTGAAAAGAAGAACAATATATATTCAGAAAAAATATCCTTTTGATAAAGCGTTTGACATGTGTTTATGCATTTATCAGTTAAAACACAATTGTCATATATTATTACCAAATGGTGTCATCATTTACAGCTCTTCAGTGTAAACTGTAATGGGAACATATATCAAAAGCTATATGAAAACAAATATGAGTTAAATCATATTTGTTTAAATAATTTAAATATTATTTTTTGATTTTGGTTGTAAAGTGTTTAATTGTAATTTTCATTGAGAACGAGGTTGGGAACGATAGCTGTCTAAAAGTTAATGGATGTAGCATAGTAAAAAATGACGACAAATGTTTTGTAAATACTATTATTTTTAATTTTATTTTGATTATAATTATGATCAAAATAAAGTTAAATAAAATAGTAATTTCAAAAAATTCCAAAATAAATAAAAGGCACTATTTCTTGGAATTAAATTAAAGTTATGTTTCACTCGATAACAATAGTTAAATGTTTTATCTTAGGAAAATCAATTCATGTGCATTTAATTCCTTATTTAAATAGTTAGTAAAAAACAATTTTAGTCGCAATAAAGATTTCCATTCTTTGATACACATATTGCTTCTGCAATAGCCTCTGTGGTTTCATATTCACAAATAAAAATTGCCACAGTATGGTAAGCAATGTTAGTTTTTAATACAAGGAAAAGATAACAGATATATAACAGCGCATATCTTATTGTTCTGTAGTAGTATCAAGAAAAGCCAAGGTTATTCCGATACTGTATCAGCTGTTTCCTTTTTTAAATATCTTTATATACAAACAACAATAAATTATTATGAACTGGAAAATTTTCTTCGGAATTGAATTTTCCCTAAAATAAAAACAATCCATGATCAATCTTTGTTTTTCATTTATTTATCATGGACCAAAGGCATTTGTTATTGTAACTGTAAGGCATATGTAAGGTATAGATATGTATATATATATAGATATATATAGATATGTAACTGTAAGGCATATGTAACTGCAAAGCTTTCGTCTAGCTATTGTCATTTCATTTGCAATGGTCATATCTCTAAGAAAAACATGTTTGTTTGTTTTCCGCCGAATAATTTAAGAATTAAGTTATAAAATTTAAAATTGCATAAAGCTCTCGTTATAGTAGATCATTACGACAAACTTTATTTCTAACTTTATGTCTATGGCTAAGCTTATATAAATGTTTTTAGTTTAGTTGTTATTTTGGTTCGATTTGCTTTAAAGACCCAGTTTTAGTTCACGGAAAGACAAACGTATTATGGACATACATGGTACAAACAATGAAGGTAACTGTGTCCGCTGTGTGGAAATTGTAAAAAAATGGAGTAATATCAAAAATCCTAAATTGACAACAAGATCTAAACACTTTAAAAGAGGATGATCTCGAAGAGACTTTCCAGAATAATATCGAAATAGAAAACAAACAGAAGTTGCGAAAATAGGAATAATATAGAAAATCCCAAACGCAGAATATAGATAAAGGTGTAGGTCTTGCGTTTTCTTCAATATAATGATTACAGATATTCAAATATGCAATAAATCTTACGGGTCGGCACTGTTTAACATAACCATGTCAGTCATTATTAACTTTCCAGACATAAAATAGATCACGTCAATTGTTATTGCTTCAGATTCTTTTTTTTAAAAACTTATGTTTTATAAAAAAATTATCAAATACTCCAAATATTTCAAAATACATACTGGTTTAAAAAGGAAGTTTTAGGATTATTAGTATTTGCGTGCATGCTTTTCAAAAATATATATATTTTTGCTACACTAAATATTTTACTATGACATTGAAACTTTATCTTTTTGTAATATTTTTGTCATTTTTGCAATTGCAAATATGTATTTGCATTACTATTACATTATTTTTTATATTATATAAAAAATTTTAATTTTTTTTAAGTGGACTCCTTGTTAAAGTCGGACATTCATAACCTAAGAATTTTATCGTTTTTTGTTTTTGTTATTTTAAACAAAGTCTATATGAAAACGTTTTATATGCTGTAGTTTTTTATTTTTTATTTCATTTTTTTTTTTATTATTTTGTATTAAAGCATAGAATTGGTGATAAGATATTTTGTCTTCTTTAACTATTTGTAATTACATATATTTACGGTATAATTAAACATATACGGTAAAAAAAAAAGAAAAAAAAAAAAAATTGATAAAGAAAAAAAAAAAGTACACGTTTTTTTTAAAAAAAAAAAAATGATTAAACTTCATAAGCAGCATTAAAATTGGAAACTATATTGTTGCATGATTAATTCAATGAAAAATACATCTTGATGCTCATTATATGCATACCTTTACTAAAATCATCTGCTAAAGAAGGGTCACAATCCCACTATTAACATAGCATTTTTGCTATGTTATTTGTGGGATAGGCAACTTTTCCGCATTTCAAAATTTATTTATACCTTAAAACAATAAAAAAATCAAACTACATGAAAATCAAAGATAATATCTTAAATTCCTTTGGGACAATAATCCGTTTGTTTTTTTTTTCGACACTTATCATAAAGTTTATTTTCGACATCCCAGCAAACTCCCCATTCTTGGCCCATGCATGGCACATGCATGATCCACCATCGGTGTCATAACTGCACCACCATCAGCCGACAAACATAGTCTAATCCAAGTCTTGTTTACTGTTTAAGGAATGGTTCATACATGGCAGCCGTTTTTTGAGCGGCGTTTAGTCGTTCCGTTGCTACTTTTGGTTCATTTTGTTCGTTTTTAAAATAAATTGCTACTTTTTATAAACAATCATTACTTAAATAAACGCGAGATTTTAACTCAGAGACCTTTGCGAAACAAACGCAAGATTTTAACCTAAAGATTTTTTAACTTAAAGTACAACAAGTCAGTAAGAAAAAGATGAAGCGGGATGATGTTTGCTTACCTGGAAAAGTTGCATGAGTTATATAAAATGGAATGTGGGATAGTTTAAATTAAAAATACACAGTCGTTTTAGCAATATGTTTTATTATCCCAAATATTTTTATTTCAATAAAATTGTCTTGCAATACAATACATATAAAAGTTAGCAAACGGTTAAACTTCAACCATCATTTCAATTTGATGCTTGCTTGAACTAACTTTTGTTCTCGATTTCCGAACTTTTCTGCTTGTCAAGCTGAATCTCATAAATTTAGTAAATACAACCAAGTTACCCAAAAATAGCCAAGAGTGAAGAAATTGCAAAATAAGTATAAATTTGTAACCAAAATAACTAAAAGTAAAGTAATTGTAAAATAAAATATAAAAGTTTGTAATAAGATTAAATAACAAAGTAATATAATTTATTAATATTAAAATAATTAAGTAATACATGCTTTACATATTATAAGTAAAACAAAAAAAAAAAAAAAAAAAAAAAAAATTAAAGAAAACAACAACAAAAAACGCAGTAAATGTTTATATAAATTTGATGAGTTAATCGTTGTTGTTTTCTTCTATATTTTACGTCAATTTCTATATCAATGAAATTTCTTCGGATGCAAAAAAAAAAAAATAATATATATATATTTTTTTTATCCAAAAAATTACAATTAATTGTCCCCATGATAACATTAGATAATCGTGTTGTTTTCAAAAAATACTCTCAATGAAGTATTACATATAAAATATATAAAAAAAAATTTCAATGATCTTAAAACTATTAACACAATGTGATCTACACAATGTGATCTACACAAACTATAACTATTCTGTATTTTAATTAAAAATTTCGATACATTTTACACGTTTAATTTGCAAAGGAATAAAGAAAAAGCATAAAGAAAGATCATCAATGCTATTTGATGTCTTAATGATACTACGCTTGATACTACTCAGCCTCCAATATTATTGCAATCTATTTCTCCTGACGAAGTGTCATGTGATTTAAATGTCATTTAAACAGTATTGCACTTATTTTCTAATAATAAACATACATTAAAACGTAGCAATACATTTTTTTATTATAACTTATCTAGAGAATAAAAAACTAACTCACTCACAGTACTGTGTTATCTTTATTTAACCTTTCGACATTATTAGTATTTTTTGTTTTGGACTATATTGTAAAACTAACATTATTTTTTAATCTAATTCTAACAATTAACTCAATCTCGTCGCTTATTATGTATGTAAAAATATTTATAAAAACTGAACAAATGATTATAATGATGATGAAAACATTTATGATTCTACACCTATTGGCATAAATAAAAGTCAATGTTTAATCTATACATAATTTAAATTTAGTCACGTAAAATGAATGTCAGGTCAAACTTGGGAACTAATAGTAAAATAAGTATAAAATTGTAAACAAAATAACAAATAAGTGAAGTAAACAAAAGAATAAAATTCAAAATAAACTATAAAATGAGTATAAACTATAAAATCCATGACTCCTACAATAAAAATATTGTAACAATAAAAACATTATATTTCAAGAAATAATATAAAATATCAACGAAAACTTTACAACTAAGGCATAAGACATATTTTGCATACCCACCATTTATGTCAGGAGCTTGCAGTAGCCATCGCTTTATGGACCTGACGACATATTGTATTACTTGCTCCTTTTTCATGTTTTTGAACTGCAACTGTGAGTTTTAATACAAGATATTTAGATGTGATCCACCTAGTTACCACAATATCATTGTCTGTTAATTTACTTACTGTAGATTGTGAAAGGAATTTGTTTTAACTTTCCAAAGGCCGCTTAACTACAGATTTACCCATTTATAGACAAGTAAATAATGGAAAAATAATTATACTTATGTATTTATGTATATATATATATATATATATATATATATATATATATATATATATATATATATATATATATATATATATATATATATATATATATATATATATATATATGTATATATATATATATATATATATATATATATATATATATATATATATATATATATATATTCATATATATATATATATATATATATATATTTATATATATATATATATATATATATATATATATATATATATATATATATATATATATATATATATATATATATATATATATATATATATATATATATATATATATAATTATATAAAGACATAAATAAAATTACATGTATATCATTTACTTAGACTATAAATGGTATAAATATAAAGTTAATAATATAAAATATGAGTGATTTGTGATACTCAAATCATATTTATAGTGTAACATTAACAAGTCATAAGTTATATATCTTGTTGAAGTATAACATTTGCTGAGTGTTACAACCTACGACAATAATCATTATTAAAAAGTATAACCTTTGATAGTATATATAGGAACTTATGGCAAAATATTGCATATTATCATGATATTTGACATTATTTTGAAAGTAAGTAAATGTTTTTTGAGGATCTTAAACTGTTTATTCTTTATAATAAAAATTATAAGTAACATTAGATCCTCAAAAAACATTAACTTGCTTTTAAAATAAAAAAAAATATTATGATATTATGTAACATTTTGTAATAGGTTATATATAAACTCTTAATTAAATAAATATATATATATATATATATATATATATATATATATATATATATATAATATATATATATATATATATATATATATATATATATATATATATATGTATATATATATATATATATATATATATATATATATATAATATATATATATATATATATATATATATATATATATATATATATATATATATATATATATATATATATATATATATATATATATATATATATTTATGTATATACATAATATTGTTATACAAGATTCTGCATTTATTATTTTTGTGCATTAAGATTGTGCCTGAAAGTAAAAATAACTTTGCATTGTAGTCTAAATTCTTTGCAAATGACTGGTCTATATATTGGATTTTATTGGCTGATGACCAGCACCACTGCAAAATAAATTTATTATTTATTTCATATAAAATAAATAAATTATTTATTTTATATGAAATAAATAATAAATTTATTTTGCAGTGGTGCTGGTCATCAGCCAATAAAATCCAATACATAGACCAGTCATTTGCAAAGAATTTAGACTACAATGCAAAGTTATTTTTACTTTCAGGCACAATCTTAATGCACAAAAATAATAAATGCAGAATCTTGTATAACAATATTATGTATATACATAAATATATATATATATATATATATATATATATATATATATATATATATATATATATATATATATATATATATATATATATATATATATATATATATATATATATATATATATATATATATATATATATATATATATATATATATATATATATATATATATATATATATATATATTTATGTATATACATAATATTGTATATATATATATACAGGCCTTGTTTTAAAGCGTTACGCCTAGAGCGATTTACGTACGCCTTTAGCGATTTTTACGCGTACAGCTGTTTTGGTTAAGCTACTTTTGATCATTGTTTAAATTAGCGGTAACGTAAAAGAAGTAATTAATTTTTAAAAAAATCACATCAACTTTTAAATAACGATATGTAAAGATATTTATTAAAAAAAAAGAATTTACTTTAAAAATAATTAATGTATTTTTTCATCGGGATATATCTTTCCTTTTTATAGCAAATAATTTGACGCTAAACTTTTTATCCAAATATTTAGCAACATGAAAATTGTTTGTCAATCCTTAACTAAAACTTTTTTGCAATGTTTTTAATTAAAAGTATTAATTTTTTAAAGTTTTTACTGAAAAACTTTTAAAAAATCTATATTCCATATTTATTAATACAGAATATAAATGTTTTTTGTAATATAGATTTTTAAAGAATTTTTTACTGAATTTATAATAAAAAACATTTGCAAAAAAATTTGTTATTAAAAATTTATATTTTTCTGAATATCTCAAAAATGTTATAATATTATTGTTATCATGATAACAAAAATTTGATATTTTTTCGAGATATTAAAAAAAATGTCTTTGCTTTTCTTATTAGTTAAAGGTATATATAAACCTTTACCTTTAAGTTATGCGGGGGGAGAGGGTCGGCACATAAAAAAAATTACCTGTTACTCGCAATATTTGAATGAAGACAATTTGTTAAATTTCTTCTGGGTGCGATTCAATAAGTTTTTTTTTTTTTTCATAAATCAAGTTATATTATAAGGTTAAGAAATCATGAGTAGACTACAACATCCGCTGATGACACTAATATTACGTTGAATATATTTATATAACGGAGGTTTTATTATGCACGCGCACATTACAGGTTCCGTTAAATAAATACTAAGGTACGTTTTAGTTTAATGACAGTCTCCATTTTTTACTAATGAATATGTATTTTTCTTTATAAAACAAAACAAACTAGTATATAAAAACCTTCTAAGTTGTTTAAAGTTCGAATATGGATTGTATTTTGAAGGACAAAATATTTACTTTAAAAACTTTTAAATCTTGAAACTTTGCCGATGCAAAAAAGAGAAAACTTACGTTATTAAAATCAAATGTAAGTTATGTGGTCTTCATCAAAATAAAATTTAATCCAAAAACAATGGTGCCGTAACGGCAACTGCCCAACGGTTTATAAATAACACAAGTCATGTTAAAATATTTTAACATGTTACTATATTTTAATTAAGTTGATATATAATTAAAAATAAAAATATAGTTCAATAAATAAATTAAATTTGTTCTTAACAAAGATTACCTCATATTTATTCTTTTTTTTTTTTTTATTTAGTTAAATTGCTTACAAACGAAAACAAAGAGTTTTGTAATTATACGTAGAATGAAAATACTTTTGAGTTTGTTTATAAGTTAAGGAACTTAATTTTTAATAAACAAATTTTTACGAACGTTTAATTATAAACATATACGATTCAAATTATTAAATATACTTAAATTATTTCAGTTGAGTATTTTTTTAAGTTTGCACGATTAAAGTTTTGCGTAGAAGTATTTGTTTTTTTGTTTTAAGAATAATTAACAAAAGAGTTTGCATAATTAAGACTTTTATATTTAATTTATTTTTATTTTTTAATTTCCTAAAATTTAAAAAAAAAAAGATTTAATCGTTAAAAGCGATTTTTCTCTATAGCTCTGTTTCTTTGTGATTTGTTTAAAAAGTAAAATATTTTTACAATAACATAAAAAATTTATGATTTAAATTCCTGGCGAACGCGTTCTAAACTATGTATCAAAAACATGCTCAAAGCAGACAAAACTTTTTTATATTTTTATAAAACGCAAGTTGAAACGCTAAGCAAGATAAATTTAAAAAAAATTTAAAAACCCAAATTTTTCTTTGCTAGTCAAAACAAAATCGTTGTTTAAATAATTAACATGGGTTTGTGTTTATCAATGTTAATATTTTTTGTTTACTCTAGAAATTTTTAAAAATAAAAAAAATCATTATTATTTTTCATTCAATAACGAATAAAAACAATTATTCAAAAACAAATTTCAAAAATAATTAATATAAATATATATATATATATATATATATATATGTATATATATATATATATATATATATATATATATATATATATATATATATATATATATATATATATATATATATATATATATATATATATATATATATATATATATATTTTACTAAATAATATTGAACTAAAATTAATAATAAAATAACAATTGAACCATTACAAAATTTTCATAATAAATTTACATTTAAAACGTTTATAGTTATTTGAGTTAATTGTTAAATTGAACTAGTTTGCGGTTATTTATTTATTGCAATAGTTAAAACACTTAACATCTATAAAAAAAAATAAAGATAATTTTATGACGTCAAAATCGCTTTAAGCTAATGCATTAAGCACTTTTTTATTTAAAACAAGGTTTTTATATTTAGATATTTGGCATTATTTTGAAAGTAAATAAATGTTTTTTGAGGATCTTAAACTGTTTATACTTTATAATAAAAATTATAAATAATATTGGATCCTCAAAAAACATTAACTTGCATTTAAAATAAAAAAAATATTATGATATTATGTAACATTTTGTAATAGGTTATATATAAACTATATTATTTATTTTATATGAAATAAATAATAAATTTATTTTGCAGTGGTGTTGGTCATCAGCCAATAAATTCCAATGCAAGGACCAGGCATTGGAGAGTTTTCTGGGATCATTCCCTTTTTATGATTTGTTTTATGACACTATCTATTAAACTCCTCGGCGACATTAGTCCTTTTCCAATTTTCGACACAATTTATCAAATATCTATGCAACACTTATCCTTTTTTTTAATTTTCGACACTGTTTATTAAATTCATATGCGTCATTATTCCTTATTCCGTTATTCGACAATCAATCAAGCGACATTTTGCTGCACTACTTTCATTTCACATTTCAACATTCAAGTTTGCGTCAATAAAAATAACATGAACAACAGTTAAAAAAATATTATGTAACTAAATCATATGTATGAGGTCACGTACATGCGGAGGCGATTTTATGAGTGGGTGTTAAACCCCCTAAAAAGTGTGATTTTCAAGTTTTAGTCGGTTATGGATGGCACTTTTACTTACTTTTTTTTTACTTCCACGAGTAAGTAAATTTTTTTGAAAAAGTTTATTATGTAAATAATTGTCACCGTTCAAATTGAATTTACATTTACAAAAAAGTAATTAATTTTTATGAAGCGACTTTTACTTTGTAAAATAGATTTTTTTACTTTCAAAAGTAACTTATGTAAAATCAGATTACATCAAAAAGTAATTTACTTTTTTATATAAATATTAATTACTTTTTCAAATTACATTGCATAATTTATTAGTTCCCCTAAATGTAATTTCAATTTACATATAAAAATAATTTTTTAAAAAAACAATATATTACCGTATTTGTAAAAAAAACTATTATATGAAAAAGAATTACATAAAAGTAATAGGCGACCAAATATAAATAAAATTTACATATAAAATATGATTATATAAGTTATCATTTTTTATTATACAAGTAAAAAAAAATTGTTGTAATAAACAAATTATATAAAGAAAAAATTCAATTACATAAGCATATATTTTATATAATAAAAAAATAAATTAAAAATAACTAATATTTTATAAGTAAGTAAATTTACTTATATTCTAAAATAAATTAGAGAGGATATTGTGCAAACGAGTGACATGCAAAAAGTACAACTTGCATCAAAGTAACTAAAATTTAGTTTTTGGCGACATTTTTTATGAGCGGTTTTGGCTTTTTTTTCCCTTGTAAATTTTGATGTATCAGTATTAGGTTTAAAGGCATCAAAATGCTGCCGATTAAAACCATTCTTACTCCCAGTCCATGACTATTTTGGGCAGTTTTAGACTATGTGGTGGTGGGTAGGTTTAGGCGGCCATAAAATATTCAAAAAGACCGTTTTTAAATTCTTAATCATTTTAGATGTTGTAGCACTAAAAAAAAAGGAAGCTTCTCTAAAAAAAAACCCCGGGCAACACATAATCTTAATCCGTTTATGGTTTTAGCTATCAAAACTATTCTTTGAGCATATAATTTTGGCTTACTACAATATGCCAAAATATAATAAATATGTTTGCTTGAAGAAATTTAATCTGACATATACCGTATCATGTATGGTATAATATCAGAAGCCATTACCGATAATTTTATAGAATGCTTCCGTTACAGTTACTAGGTTTTTCCGCTAAATAGATTATTATTATTATATTTGTTTCACGAGAGACGCATCAATTTTCAGTGGGATCAAATGTTTAAAGGCTCTGAAAAATAATACGACTAGTAATTAAATAAAATACTTATAAAAAAAACGTTGCATTATACATCAAAAACATTAAAATAAACTTAGTGATTCTAAAGTTGTTATAAAAATAGAACGGAAACGCAAAAAGGCCTCATTAAAAAAGTATTAAACGGTAAAATAAACTATAGCTTAGTTCATTTAGTAGCTTATAAGCAGCTGTTGCGGTTTTCAAAAGGTCTAATTTTTTTATGAGGCTTAAATAAGTTTCAAAAGGGTGAAAACCTAAATTTTCATTTGTTTTAAAAGACTATTTTAAATCGTCTATCGTCATAGTCCTTCTTTAAGATCTTTAAGTCGGCGTAGTAATTATTAACAACAACTCTAACCCAATAAAAACTAACTTTTTTTAAAGAACTATTTATAAAATTTTAGTCTTGAATAGAGTAATAGAAGCATCATTGAAGCAACATAAACTATTGAAAAGACACCATTGTAGCCGCAAAAGCTACTGATGGCGGAAAGCCTACCGCCCATCTTTCCGTTAAATTTTAAAAAAAATTCTTAAAAAAATAACAAATTATTTTAAAGGCACTACTTTATTTGAATATATTAGAATATTACCACCAAAGCAACTGAAAAGAAGGCTGTTGCCAATAACCTTCTTTTCAGTAACTTAGGTCCCGAAGAACTATTTACAGATCTTTTAGTCTTTGGTTTACCGGCACTTAAAAAATAATTTAAAAACTAACAAAAAAATTAAAACTATGCCCTCCCTTGACCACATTTAAATGTTTAATTAGGACCAATAATCTACTTTCAGTCTAAACGAGAAAATAATTTTTCTCCTTATAGATTAAGGACTCTCGCCGTCACTGTCTTACTTTAACAAATCTATCCTATAAACTATTTTAGCCCCTACTTGTATAATTTTTAATTCCCCGCTGCAAAACGGCCCACATACATCTGAATAATTCCAAGTAATGTAACCCAGATGTACACATCAACTAATGCTTTTTAATAAACTACCTACCTTATAAAATTGTTAGTAAAATGGCTTTGTTTGTTGTAAAAGTAAATAATATAATTTCCATTTTGCTTACATACTTACTAAGTAAAATAAGTATTTGAAATAAAAAATTTACTTTAATTTCTAATTGTAAATCTTTTTTCTTTTCAATTTTCTTTTATGTAAGTTGCCTTTGCTAATTAGTTACTTTTACACATGTAATTAATTGATTTTTACTAGCAAAAAGCAACCCGCAATACGGGTTTTGGTTGGTCTGTTAAATAATTAATTTACAGTGGCTGTTTTCTACAATTTAATGTTTAAAACCTTAACTAATACTCTTTTAAAAAATCGCCTTCAGCTTGATAAAATTAATCCATCTGTAAAATTACCATAAAAAGTATGAGAAGGTAAAATAATTTCCCAACTACTATTTAACATTTACAATTACTTCTTAACATTATCTGAGTAATTTACAATTGGCCTAGGTCATAACAGTGTAAGGCAGAACCATTTTCATCCACCTTCCTAAGTTTAATACAATACGTTTTTAGTTTCTGATACAAAATAATAACACTTCGTCATGCTTTAAATTGAGGAAAGTATCAACTAAATCCTTGTAATAATTTTTATAACACGAACTGAGTACAAATACGTTTCAAACAAAAAAAATTTAATTTACGATCAAATTTGACAAACCTAAAATAAATATGACAAACCTAAAATAAAAATTATAACAGATAAGTAGACATAAAAATTTGTAAACCAAGCTGACCCGACCCGGGTCTTGTTAAGTTGGTTCAACACAGACCATTTCTATATTAATTGTTTGGCCTCTTTATTTCATTAACTTTTAGTAAACGGTAATTAACAGTAGTAAACGGTCTCATTCTATAAGCTTCGTCAATTGATTGCTGAACATTATCATTTAAATTTTCTAGATTAAAATCTATGAATTCATCAACAGCAGGCAAATTATAATCAGATAGCGTTTTACCAATTTAATTAATAATCTTTTCTCAAATGTTCGCCACAATGCCTCAGGTGCACTAACATAACACAAATCTAAAAAAGTGATTAATTCATCGTGATTAACTTGTTCATTTATCACAACTTTCGCACAATCGTGTTCTTTGTAAATGTATTTGTACAAATATTTAACAGTCTTTACAGACATACAAGCTTCAATATTATGTGGGCTTGATGTTTTTTAGATAACCAAGGATTGCAAGGTACCACCAAACGGTTATCTACATATTACGATCGTTAACAATGTCGTTAACATGTTTATGTAAGGCATCATACTGCTCGCTTTTAAGTTTGTTTTGGTTAATTCTGATAAATAACTAAAAAAACTTACTCAAAAAATTAAAAAAAAATTCCTAAAACAAATATATATAAAGAAACCAAATAAATGCAAAACAAATTACATTGCCATCATCAAAATTTTTTTTTAATTTTTTGAGTAAGTTTTTTTAGTTATTTACAGGTGAATGCACCGCAAAAACTGAGACACACCAAAAACAACGTGATCTTTTATATGGCTATAAAAATATAAATCTGTACTTTAAAACCACAAAAGAAATTATTTTTGATACATGAATGTTCCAGTAACAATTAAAATAAAGGAAAACAATATAGAAAAATTTTTAAAAATGTTTTCAGTTAAAAAAAATGTATAAATTTTTGGAATTTTTAAGAATAACTGCTTTAAAATAGTGGTTTTTTAGACTAAATTTGCTACTACAATCTAATTAACTTATCTTTTATATATTATATACATAAATCAAAATATTTGCATTTTAAGTAGAAGGGAAACATGTAAAAATAACATTTAAAATGTACAACTCAACATGTGGTTTTTGGGGTGCATTAAAGAAAGAATTAACCAGAATCAATCTTTTTAACTAAATTTGCACAAAATTTATAGAAACATCTCACTAAAATAATTGGTTCATTTCTTTCTAGCTTATAAGGTCATTTCTGGATTTCGTCCATTTACTTTGCAATTTACTTTGCTGCAAACAGACTTCATAACATTAAGACAGGTTGGACACTGCTTCAAACCGAAAGCTTTACATTTTATGTCTCCCCAAATACATTGAAGCATACATTTAATAAAAATTTTTTTAACTTCTCTTTTTTTTTTTTCAGCATCTTCTTTTTCTTTTAACTTTTTTTCTTTAATTCTTTTTATGGATTCAAGTACAGTTAATACATTGTTTGCTGTCATTGAACCATGTACTTGGGTAACACGTGTCATATCTTTTGATAATTTAGGCTTTACCTTTTTGGTTACCATAACATCTGGTGTTTCTTCCAGTTGAATACTTTTTTTATGAAGTTTATCAATCAGTTCCATAGCTTGTTTGAACTTTGATTTCCAGTAACCTGCTGAACCACGTCTTTTTTCAGGCAAAGAAATTAAGGAAGATGGCTGTTTCTCTGCTTTAATACAGTTTCTGCTCTTTCTTGGTCAAAAAATTGAGTAACTCCTGTTGTGTCTGGTGGAGTGACAAAGAGACGAATTTTTTTCAACTCAAGAAAAAATAAAACATCAAAGTCTAGTCTTGAGCTATGTCCATCTGACAATAAGATGATGGGTCGCTTAACATTTTTTTCATTTAAGTAAACATCGAATTCTTTCAATGCTGCCAAGAATGATTCATGGTTTGATACTCTATTTTCTGATGTCGTAAACAAAAAATGTGGAATTTTATTTGCTGCTTCTGTCGGAACCATACAACTTGTAATACCAGTACATTTAAAAATTACCTGGCACATACATATATCCCCTTAAAATAAAAATTGAAAATCATTATAAACAAGTAT